TTTTTTTTTTTTTAATGTTAATGGGAGGAGGCCCTAGATGGCACAAACAGTTAAGAACTTGACTAAGAGCCAAAGTTGGCAGTTTGAACTCATCCAGAGGCACCTCAGAAGACAACCCTTGTGATCTGCTTCTGAAAGGTCACAGACTTGAAAACCCTATGAAGCACCATTCTACTTTGCACATATGGGGTCACCATGAGTCGGAATTGACTTGATGGCAACCAACAATAATAACAACAATATTGATGGGACGGCCTATTTCTTCCTGGAATATCTGGAACATTTTACAGAAAGAGGACTAGGGTAGGAAAACAGTGATCTGGCCTCTCATTCTAGCTCTGTCCCACATGGTTTGTAGTTTTGGACAAGTCCCCTAGTTACACAGACCTTCTGGTCTTCAGCTTGCATGACAACAAAAGGGAGCATAATAATATCACGTTTATTCTCGACCTATTTGCACAGCAATGGAGAGACTAAAATAAGACTGCGTACATGAGTGTTACAGATAAGTAAGAAGAGCTTAAAGAAAGGAAAATTTTAGTACTCTGTTGATTAGTGCATAGTTCCATTGATCAGTCCTGGGGAACGGCACCCCAAGTTAGATTACGTGTATTACAGCTTGGCCTTGCCCAGTTCTTGTGCTTTTTTTGTGGACCTTGTGCTCATCCTAGGTCTATACAGGGCATGAAGGTGCATTTCAATGAGGCAAGGGAGACTGCGCATCAAGACTCAGATACTGCCACTGTGCAAGTCTGGAGGGTTTAAGTTGCTTCATATATTGCATGGGCTAGCGTTTCTTTAAAAAAGGAGAAATTCCCCCACAAAAAGATATGAAGTCCTCAACCCTATACCTGTCAAAGTGAACTTATTAGGAAATAGGGTCTTTGCAGATACAATCAAGTTAAAATGAAGTCACACTGGAGCATAGTGGGTTCTAAATCCCACAGCTTGTGTCATTATAAGAAGAGAAAGCAGAGACACAGACACATAGACCTAGGGGAGAAGATCATGTGGAGACAGAGATTAGAGTGATGCGTCTACAAGCCAAGGAATGCCAAGAATTGCCTTAAGCTACCAGAAACTGGAAGAGACAAATGGATTTCTTCCCCAGAGTCTTTGGAGGGAGCATAATCCTGACAACACCTTGATTTTGGACTTCAGCCCTGGTTGCATAGTGGTTAAGAGCTCAGCTGCTAATCAAAAGGTCAGCAGTTCAAATCCACCAGCTGCTCCTTAGAAATCCTATGGGGGCAGTTCTACTCTGTCCTATAGGGTTGCTATGAGTCAGAATCGACTTGATGGCAAAGGATTT